CAAGCCTGCTTCCGCACTTAAATTGGATAAAAATTTACCAGGGATAAACGAAAGCAATTTCCAAATAATCAAATAACTTCAAAACTCAGTTTTACATGTAGAACTAAAATGTTATGATGACAAGATCCAGGCTAAAAAGTTGGAAATTATGCCCTGAAATTGCAAACGGAAAGTCTTAAAAAATCAATTTCCCATGAAAAAACACCCAAATCTAGTACGCGCATTTGAGAATTTTGGAATTGCCGCAACTCCTGCCGCTATTTTATCACTTTTAGGTCGGAGCACAAACACCCAAAGGCCAAGCGGATCATTTTATTTTCAGTGTGTTGTGTCTGTTGCGACACACGTTGAGTTCGATTTTTATTAGTACAACAGGAAATATCAAAACTGGCAGTTATGGAGCTGTGATTCTTCGGTTGGTGCTGACCGGGGTACCACGGTCAACACGGTCCGTCTGGCCTTCACACTCCACGCTCCTCGAGCCGCTGACGAAGCTGCTGCTGGGGAGACGTCGATCCTTGTTGAACGGCCGCACAGTCCTGTCGATCGTCAGCACACTGCCCTAAACCTTGCTAGTCGATCTACGCTCCAGATCCGAGTTGTGCTGGAACGTTCTCGAAAGGGGAGAGCAAGATCACTTGCTCCCAACACAGTGTATGCTTTTTCTCCCCCTCCCCCGTACTCCTCCACCACTCCGTTCGTCACTTCGACCCACCTTCCCTCTCCTCCTCTTCTCGTTTAGCCTGCTACTTCTCCCCCTCTGCCTCTCGATCGTCCTGCTGTACTCTCCCCGCCGGTCGTTACCATGTTAAAAGTTCCGCTACCCCACCTCTTAAATCCGCCAGTGGTGCTAGCACCAATTATTTTTAATCTATGGTGAAAAGACTACAACTTTTTATCTGCGATAGCATGTTCGCTGTTCCCTGTACCAGAAAGGAAGGATCGCTTACTTGTTCCATAACTGATCAAGCAGATGCGCAATTTCCAGTATTCGTCCGGCTGTATCAATAACTACCATAACATCACCGCCATCTCGTACGGTGCCCAAAAGCCTCGTTACAAGCTGCTCATCACGTTGCTTTCGGCGTGGCTGACTATACAATGCGTTGAAAGCATCCGTTATCATTAGATTCGGCCGACCAATGCCTGCAATAAAATGTGCTTGTACACTGAAATGTCGCACCGCACCATAGGTTTTTTCTCAGATTTAGTAATTCACGTATCTATAGAATACTGCGGAAACGTGGATGCCCATCACGCTTATCCCTAATCCCATCCCTAATGCATTTAAGCGTCACCGCATGTAATAATTGGCCAACGCACGGGCTGCCTGTGCGAAGATGCGTTTTTTGCATAGTTCCCTACAGTTTTTGTCGCTGCCGGCATCGGTTTTTTTTTCGGCAAATGTACCACGCGGGTAATGGCGCTCA